AGGATGAGTGGGTTGTGCCGTTTGAGATAGTCCCAATTATCAACCATCCAGATTTTGGAGACAGGTCAGCTGAGAGGATTTGCATTGAAAAAAAAATAAAGAGTCAAAATGAGAGAGATAAGCTTGATGAGGCAAAGAAAACAATTTACAAGGGCGGGTTTTATGAGGGAATCATGATTGTTGGAGAGTTTGCTGGTATGAAAGTCCAAGAAGCTAAAGGTCTGATCAGGAGCAACCTTTTGGAGACAAATCAAGCTGTAGTATATAGTGAACCTGAGAAAAAAGTCATGTCGCGATCCGGGGATGAGTGTGTTGTGGCTTTGACTGATCAATGGTATATCACTTATGGAGAATCAGAATGGAGGAAGGTTGCCGAGGAGTGTTTGGCCAGTATGAATCTCTACTCTGATGAGACACGACATGGCTTTGAGCACACTCTCAGCTGGCTTAATCAGTGGGCTTGTTCTCGCAGTTTTGGGCTTGGAACTCGTATTCCTTGGGATGAGGAATTCTTAGTCGAATCCTTATCCGATTCCACTATTTATATGGCATATTACACAGTGGCACACTTCTTGCAGAAAGGGGACATGTATGGTAATGATCATTCTTCAGTGAAACCAGAGCACTTGACAGATGATGTCTGGGAATTCTTGTTCTGTGATGGGCCTTTTCCTGAAAATTCTTCTATATCTTCTTCTCTTCTAAAGGAGATGAAGCAGGAATTTCTCTACTGGTATCCATTCGATCTCAGAGTTTCTGGCAAGGATCTTATTCAGAATCATCTTACCTTTTGCATCTATAACCACACTGCCCTCTTCCCTAAGCACCACTGGCCACGTGGTTTCAGATGCAATGGGCATATAATGCTTAACTCTGAGAAGATGTCCAAGTCCACTGGGAATTTCCGAACACTCCGGCAGGCAATTGAAGAGTTTTCAGCTGATGCCACACGCTTTTCTCTTGCTGATGCGGGTGATGGGATGGACGATGCTAACTTTGTCTTTGAAACAGCTAATGCTGCTATCTTACGTCTTACAAAAGAAATAGCATGGATGCAGGAAGTCCTTGATGCAGAGACATCTTTAAGAACTGGGCCTCCATCCACATATGCTGACCGCGTATTTGCTAATGAAATAAATATTGCAGTAAGGACTACAGAGAAGAACTATAGTGAGTACATGTTCCGGGATGCTCTGAAAACTGGTTTTTATGATCTTCAGGCTGCCAGAGATGAGTATAGGCTTTCCTGTGGTTCAGGAGGCATGAACCGTGATTTGCTATGGCGATTTATGGATGTTCAAACACGACTTATTGCTCCTATCTGTCCACACTATGCTGAATATGCCTGGAGAAAGCTTTTGAAGAAGGATGGTTATGGCATCAAAGCTGGGTGGCCAGAGGCTGATTTACCGGATCTTAGCCTTAAGAAGGCCAACAAATATTTGCAAGACACGATTGTCTCGATGAGGAAGCTGCTTCAGAAGCAAGTTTCTGGTTCAAAGAAAGGAAATGCCAATTTGAGTAGCCAAAACAAATCTTCTGTGGGCCTGATATATGTGGATGAGCAGTATAGTGGATGGAAAAAGGAATGTTTGGGAATCCTGCAGAGGAAATTTGACACTTCAACTGGCTCCTTTGCACCTGACAAAGAAATCCTCTCCGAATTGCAGAAGAGTGAGGTCGGGCAACAAGGCAATTTCAAACAAATACAAAAGCTTTGTATGCCATTCTTGAGGTTCAAGAAAGACGAAGTAGTGGCTGTTGGGGTTCAAGCATTGGACTTGAAGCTTCCTTTTGGTGAGATTGAAGTCCTTGAGAAGAACTCGGAGTTGATCAAGAGACAGCTTGGTCTTGAGACATTGGAGATCTTATCTATGACAGATGATGCTTTAGAGAGAGCAGGGCCTCATGCTGCAGTTGTGAAGCAGAATCCTCCCTCACCAGGAAATCCAACTGCTATCTTTCTCTGAGTAAATCATTTTTGCCGCATAAGTTATGTGATCAGTTCTTGTTTGAGACCTACATGATGTGATACTCTCTTTCTAGATCTTTTTTGTCCGTGCATTCTGCGTACATTCTATTACTTGCTGAAGTTCTAGGTCCAAATTAGTGGTTTATTTGCTTCAATCTTGATGTGGAGCAACTGCAATTATATCTCCACATTAGTACTTGTTGAGTAGCAATTTGACAATTCGAGCATCTTTGAGTTTACCATTCTACAAGGTTTCCTAGTTGTATCTGCTTTTGATCATTTCTGCTTATAGCTTGATTGTCTTTTGATGCTGTATAAGCAGTTCAAGTATGACTGTATTTTGTTGATTAGTTTACGTAATTTCATATTTTGAGGCCTTTATTTAGTCATATCTAAATTGTAACGGCTAGTCCCATTTCTTTCTTGCTAGAATCCCATGGAACCTTCTTTTAAATGGATCTGTTACATTCTATGTTGCTCGGACACTCCAAAAATGTTGTTGCCCCGTGTCGGATCCTCTAAAAATGCACTACTTAGGAAGGATCCAACACTCGCCCATCAGAATTTTTGAAGAGTGTAAGCAACATAGGTTACATTACTTAAGTGAATCGAGTTAATATTAAGGTATATCATATATGGTGTTGGCTAAGCCCTTTAGTCCCTTGGAATCCTTTTGAAAATTGTGATAAATTAGTTTCCATTCAGGTTTAAGGTGAATGTAGGATTCAAAACCAACAAAATATATATATGCATTATAAAAATATAAATGAAAATTTGTCAGAAAGGCAAGGCTGAGCTATAGTATATTATAGCTCGTTCACATTGAGCAAATTTTAGAAACCTTCCTTCAAGATTCGCTTCGTAACACTAACTTCATTACAAACTAAATCTATCCTAACGAAAACTGACTACAATCTGGCCTATCAGTTTCCTGCATTGGCATGCTCCCTGCTGCGCGAAATATAGTGACATCCATGAAGATCTGAGTGCCTTTAATCACTTCAAAAACACAAACATCACCTAATTTCAACTGATTGTCAAGCACAAATGCTCCCCAGCCAATGCCAATTTTAGCTTGTGTTGGTCCCTTATAGTATGTGACAGGCCAAGAACCCCTGCCTGCAACACGAAGCATTATGTTGCTGCAGTTTTCCGGGATATATGTCCTAGCGAATCTCAGCTTTATGCACTGCCAAAAGAGATGAACTCAAAATGCAATGTGTTCTAATAAAGATTACAGTACTGTAAACTATATAAAGTGACGGTTAATTTCTAGAGCTTACCAGATGATTGCTCGATCTGGAGATATACGAATGATGCATAAAAGATATAAAGAATGGATTTTTAGAGTTGAAATTAGCTTTTGCTCTTTGATATGCTATAGCCTTCTCTTTATCCATTACTGTCCTGCGCACATCATAAATTACACTGGATTGTTGACTCTGCATCTTGAAGCCTTCATCTTCGATTGCTTCACACAGAAAACATACATGTAACGAGTTAGATGACTGATATGAAGTTTGTGTTCATATATAGCAAATGAGAGAAGATCAAAATACTTACTTAATTGGTTCTCTCTTGTGAAAGAAGGTGAAGCAATACCCTCTAGCAACTTCTCAATCTCCATTCTTTTGATATGAATGTCAAGTGAAACATCATCCTCTGTATCCCCTTCTTGTCTTTTCATTTTGCTGGACTGTCCTAATGGACAATGGCCTAGGTTTTCAACAGAATGCACAACCATGTCTGAGAATTTTGTGTTCCCTTTGTTGCTTGTTGGAGTACCATTTATGATCTCTGTAGAATCATCATCCGACTTGGTGGACCGTGTACCATGAGCTTTGAAGAAAGTATTTGTTAACTGATTTAATTTCCTTCAAGCTTGTACACAAAATACGCAACCAAAGTGCATAAAGAGATGGGTGCTACACTTACCTGACGATTCTTTTGGCTCTGTTTTAACTTTCTTAGATTTTCTTGAAGCTTCAATGTTCTCTTCCTCATCGTCTTTCTCTTCAACATTTTCTACCTCATTCTCTGAACTGCTGAGTTCTTCAAAATGTCGAATGTTGATATGAGGTTTCTTGGAGTAAGGCAGGACATGGAAGGTTGATTTCTCAACAAGATAGAAGATCAACATGTCCCCTAGCTCCAACTTGTTATACACCACAAACCATGGCCAGTCTCCTTCACATATGAAATAATCAGATGCCTCCCTCACTATCTTAGCTTCCCAAGACATCCCTTCATCCGTTCTAAGTAAGGCCGTCTTGGCCAACATCTTCTTATGTTCTTTGACAAAAGCAGCCGGCAGTCGCTAACAAGTGTGGATCATCAAGTTTAGGAAAACTCACATTTTAGAAAGAAAATAAAGCAAAGAATATAGATAGACTTTTGAGAAAAAGAACTTACTATTTTATTGATAAAGCCTTGTTCAAGTAGATTTGAGAAAGATGGATGCTTGTTGTTGGGATCAACTGCCATTTTGCAAAATTGAAATGACAGTAAGAAGAAGAGAAAAAACGAGAGGAAAACTGGTGCTGGTGAAGTTGTTGCTGTTGTTAATGCAGCATTTCACATTACATACACAATGGTTGTGTGAGGAGTGAGTCCCGCCAATTAATTTGGTTCCGTTTTAAACAGCCCAAGCTATGAGTAGTTACTTAGACCCAAACAATAATCATTTATGAAAATTTTCCTACAAAAATACTATTCTATCCGTCCTAATTTACGTGATATTTTTCGGATGTCGAAATTTAAATAAATCTTTCGTTTGACCATAATTTTTTCATATATTATAAGAGAGAAATTATATATAAGAAAAAGTAAGAAATGGCACTTGTCAGAAAAAAGAAAACAAAATTGTGAAAGAAAGTAACAGAGGACAGACAGCTCGGCAATAGTAACAAACTGATAGGTGGCCTCACACACTGTGTGTGAGTGTGTAACGTGAAATGGTGCAGTAACAAACTAAGCCAACATATTAAGCATTTTTTTCTCCTCTTCTCTTCTCCCCTGTTTCTTAGTTTCATTACAATTTTGCAAAATGGCAGTGGATCCCAACAACAAGCATCCATCTTTCTCCAATCTTCTTGAACAAGGCTTTATCGATAAAATAGTAAGTTTTTTTCTTTTAAGAGTTCCCATCTATACTATATTCTTGCTCTGTTTTCTTTGTAACTGAGTTTTTCTAAACTTGTTAGCGAATGCCGGCTGCTTTTGTCAAAGAACACAAGAAGATGTTGGCCAAGACAGCCTTACTGAAAACGGATGAAGGGCTATATTGGGAAGCCAAGATAGTGAAGGTGGCATCTGATTATTTCGTATGTGAAGGAGATTGGCCACGGTTTGTGTTGCATCACAAGTTGAATGTAGGAGACATGTTGATCTTCTTTCTCCTAGACAAGTCCACCTTCCAAGTCCTTCGCTACTCAAAGAAATCTCTTGCCAACATTCGACAGTTTGAGGAGCTTAGCAGTTCTGAGGATGAGATAGAAAATGTTGAAGAGAACAATGAAGCTTCAAGAAAATTGAAGAAAGTTAAAATGGAGGCAGTGCAGTTATCAGGGAAAAGGGTTGATCCACCAGGTGGCTCTAAAGATGGGGGAAATCCATGCTATTCAAATTTAGGTAACCTTGACCTCTTTCTAGTTTATACATTTGGTATATTTTATTGTTTTCTGTTTACTATGTGAACAAACGATGCAGAGACTGATTAGGGTTAAGTTCTAATTTTTGTTGAATTTTTCCATCTCTGAACCTAGTTACGTATGTATGAGATTGCCTTTGATTCTCTCCCTGAAGCCCTTTGTTTGTCTGTCTGGTTTCATCATGAAAGTAGGTAAATCTGATGCCAAAGCTCCTGAGACTAACAAAGTGAATGAAGTAAAAATGGAGCCAGTAATTCTATCAGATTCTGAAGAAGAGAGGGTGGATCCATCCCGTGGCTCCAAAGATAGGGGAAATCCATGTTATTCACATCCAGGTAAGGTTCACCTCTTTATACATTTGGTATGTTTAAATTGTTTTCAGTTAATCTGAGCATGAACTTGAAACTATCGCAGACAACGAAAACAATTGATGCCTATAGATCATACTCATGACTACTTGGGGTTAAGTCCTAACTACTGTTGTTTCTTGTATCAAGTTTGCTATTTCGGAAACTTAAATCACTCTTTTAGCCTAGTTAAAAACTCGTATATCATCGTGACTCCTTACTATTAAGCATGAGATTCCCTTTGAGTCCCTCGCCTGCATAGTCTTCTTAAACCCTTCGATTTCAGCCTGGACTGACCTCATCTAGCCACAGTGTCTCTGTTTGTTTGTCTCACTCTGGTTCATCATGAAAGGAGGTAAATCCCATGCCAAAGATGATAACATGCTTGGCCTGACGAAGAAAACTCCAGAGACTAAAGAAGCGAAGAGAGTCTTTATGGAGCTAATAGTATTATCAGATTCTGAGGAAGAAAACGTTCACCCACCCTGTGGCTCCAAAAATTGGGGAAATCTATGCTATTTACATCCAGGTAACATCGAGCCCTTTATACATTTGGTATATTTAATTGTTTTCAGTATAGCTACGGATGCACAAGATCGATGAGACACAATGAAACAGAAATGATGCATACTAAATAATCATACCGACAAATTGGGTTAACTCCTAATTGCTCTTGTAGTTGTATCAAGTCTGCTAGTTCTGCACAAGTGTAGTTACAGACTCGTATATATCATGACTATAAGTATGACATTTTCTTCCCGAAGGCATTCTTATCCCTTCCTTTTCAGGCCACACTCACTTCACCACCCCACAATGAAATAGGAATATCTCTTTGTTTTTCTCCCTCTTGTTCATTTTCTCAACACTGGAGGATTCATGATGATAAGAGGTAAATCCGATGCCAAAGCTGATAACATGCACAGCGTGAAGAAGAAAGTTGTCGAGACTAAAAAAGCGAAAAAGGCTGCCAAGGATCCTGACAAGGCTAAGAGCCCAGCAAGCGCTTTCTATGTTAAGCGAGGATGGAGGTCTGACAGGAATCCAAACAAACCCAAGAAGCCTGCAGGTGCTTTCTTCATTTTCATGGAGGACTTTAGGAAGCAGTTCAAGGAGGAGAATCCAAAAAATAAATCTAAGGTCCCTATCCATATAGCTGGTGGAGAGAAGTGGAAGCAGTTGTCAGATGCTGAAAAAGCTCCTTGCATGGCAGAGACAAGGAAATGGCTGGCTGATTACCATAAGAAGAAGGATGCTTATAAGAAGCGAGTAGCTGCTGAAGATTCTGATGAAGAGGAATCTTACAAGTCACTTTTCGAGGTTGATTAGGAAGATGGGGATGATGATTGAAGAGGTTTTTAATGGATGAGGAAAATGGGGAGCTATAGCTCAATAGTTTTATCTACATTTTACTTTGATGCTGCTTAGTCCTAATTTAGCTAGGTCTTTGTCCTTCATGGCTAGTACATGGATTTCTATCTAATTCGACTCTTGCTGATTGTCTACTTTGTTGGTTTCTTGATATATATATATATATGCTCTACATTGAAGTTGGGATAGCTTTCTGTTCTACCTTTTCCTATGAGGGTTTTGGGACCCATAAAAAGGTTTTCCATCCTTAATTCGCCTTAAGAATGAATCATTTAGTATTGTATCGAATTGCATGTGTCTAATACCGTGAAGTGGATATAAGGAATCCAAATGACCGGTTCAACTAGCTATGTATTAATATTCAATTGATTGGTTGATTGTCTACGCGGTAAATGTTTGAGTATGTCCTGGTTGCATTTTGACATAGCCTTCTTATGCAAGTTCAGTAGCATCTTGTTTCTGTTGCTACTAACCAAAGATGCAGAGAGCCAGAGACATTATGGAAGTTCAGGTGCAAATGAAACAACGAAAAATGTTTGGACTGGATTCTTTTCCACACCCAATTTTGGACCTCCACAATATAAATTAATCATTTCGAGCTTCTTTAATTTCAAACAATTAGTTTTATAAAATTTCAAAAAATAAAAAATATAGTTTGCAAGTTATTTTAACTAGTTTTGTCACTTTTTATAATATTTAGATAATATACATGTTTTATATAAGTTTGTATATAATTAGCATAGTTTATGAATATTCGAAAATCGTCTCAAATTTTTTTTGTTTTAATTAAATATTTGGTTAATTAGTTTAGCTATATAATAGTTTATATTTTTAAATTAATTAGTTTATAATTAAGTTTATTATTTTATTTCGTTAAAATTAAGAGGTTCATTAATTAATTTATGTTAATTCATTTTGTTCAAGTTTTAACCGAATTTGGTCATTGTTTAATTACAATTTTCCACCAACCCAGTTCCATTTCTCCTTTTAAATTTCAGCAGCCCACTCCCTTACACCCATTATCAGCCCATTCATTAATCCCAGCAACCCGGCCCAAATTTGTGTTCACCAAAACATTCCCAGCCCACCAAATATCAATAGCGTACCAAAAGACCCCTGCACAAGCGTCTTCCCAAAAACGAAACCAGCAGCCCAGCGAACCAGAACGCGAACCCGATCCAGACGACCCGAATCGGGCAGCCGCGTGGGGGTTCAGAACCAAAATAAGCCATAAAAACATAAAAGTGACCAAAATAAGCCACTACTTTTGTAAGTAACTAAAATAGGCTTAGTGGAAGAAAAACTTCCACTTTATCTGATATTCTAAACGTTTTCCGTTAGTCTCATAACGTGTATGTTTTAATATATAACGGAACTATTTCCTACACTTTATAAAATGGAACTATTTCTTACACTTTATAAAGTGAAACTTTTTATTCCACTTTATAAAGTGGAAGAAAATATTCCACTTTATAAAAAGTTACTTTACCTTTTCACTTTCTTTCTTCTTCTCCCCTTTCACTTTCATGGCTTCCAAACTTCACTTTGAAGATTAACATAACAGTTGATGGTCCCAATCCGGACAATTGAAGCAGCCCTACACTAAAAAATCAAAATCTTGAAAGATTGGAGTAGCACAACCCGACAACATAACAATCCGACCCTACAAATTATATAAATTAGGTATTTTTTTCCATCTCATATTTTCATTACTTTAAAATGATGCCTTATACAGTATGCATTCAATTTCTAATTATTGAGTTAGAAAAAAGTCTTTAATTCAAAATAAACAAAATGAATTACATTGTTGGATTGGTATTGCAAACAAGAGAACATGTCATTAGTGAGAGACTAAATCCCTAGCTAACTTACAAAATTAGCTAACATCATTTTTGCTAGGAAAATGACCATAGCAACCTTTTGTAGCTAATACACTCTTAGCTAAAATTTTGCTAGGAAAAACGTTGTTAGCCTAGCTAATTTAGCTAGAATATTTTTTCTAAGAAACATATCCAAGCAAATAATAGCTAGGATTATTCCCTAGGTAACTTCATAGCAAACAACGCTCTTTTGTTGGATATTTTTTAAGCTAATATGTAAACATCCTAGCTTTTTCTTGGCTTGATCTGTTATGTTTTCATGACCCCTAGCTTACTTTTAGAAGCAACCAAAATTACTTAAATTTCACATATCATGAAATAAATAATTGAATCCATTCAAATTACACTAATTCATTAACTATACTTGTGCATTTATTTGCACAACCATTTCAAAATGGTATGTCCTTCAGAAATGAATAACATGTATACAAATAAAATCGAACATATCTGAAGTTTAAAAACATAAAAATTAGCTCCATGTCAACTTAAGCTCAAAAACATCAACATAAGCTCCTTGTTGGCATTGTCCTCCAACTTAACGTCTCCTGCTCCATTTGTTGGCATGTTTCTTCAAATTTAATGTCTCCTTATAGTACTTCAATACCAATTCATCCCTTGGTGTAGAAATCCCATCAACCTTCTCCTTAATAAGTTTTTTATAAATGTGTTCTGGAAAAAAAAAGATAATTAGTCATTTTGAATAATAAAATAAATCAAATAACAAGTAAAGAGACATAAATAATTTGAACTAAGCAAATTGGTCTAATGACGTATACATTAGATTATTTTATAGGTTTTAACAGGAGAAGAATGACACATTTTTAGTAAAAGGAATCAAACACCAAAAGATTAAAGACACCAACGAGTATACTACTAAATTTTTATTGAACATTTAGGCTATAATGTATGAACAAAGAAGATATTTTGGGAGGCTTTCATACCATGTAAACTCACACGAGTTCTATGTTTTTGTAAACTTTTTGACTTTGGATAATGAAAGGATGAAAATTGTTTATTTAGAAAAACAATAACCATGTTTTTGGTTCACATGGATATCTTAAGGATGTACTTCAATTCGTGGGTATACCTTGGGAATGTTATTGGCCAAACATTCCATTTTAAACAACTTTCCAGAATAAAAAGTTAGCACCATTCCATACCCCATCATATAGAGAAACTTCTTTTAATTTTGGACAGAAGTATATAATTAGTCAGATAGCATATTCTCAAACATATTAAAGAAAGACACAATATATAATATGCCCTTTAACTTAGCTTGAGGTGGCATCTACACCCTTTAATTTTTTGTTTACACAAGTAAACACTTAAACTTGTATAAAGTTGAATAAACTTGTAAACGCGTCTTGCGTGATATAATACACATAGGATACCACGTATGATGATGTGTAGGATGCGAATTGCTATGTAGGACGCCAAGTAAGACGCATGTGTTTACTTGTTCAGCTCTATATAAGTTGAAGTGTTTGTTTGTGCACAACCAAAGTTGAAGGGTGTAGACGCAAAATGAAGCCAAGTTAAAGGCATGTTTATGTATTATTCCATAAAGAAAATAACTATTGTCACTTCTAGTTCCTACTAATTACCGAATAAGGACTAGAATAACAAGTACTTCCATTAAGTAAAAACATAGTATTATCAGTATATCACCAAAACCAAAGCACATCAAAATAAAGCTTAGCAGAGATGCAAATCAAAAAATTTATGTAGTGGCAATAAATATTAACTCCTAAATAAATTGAACCATAACCTAAGTCCTTGAAATGAGAAACACAAGTGACAGTCAATCCAAATCTAAAAACAAAAGTCAACACCATTCATTCTGCAACTCATATTAATTTTAATTTAGTTTACTTTTCTACATCCTTATTAGGAACACTAAATGCTTACCAAGCCCTACATTAACTAACATAATTACTACATAAAATCTATACAACAAAGAAACAAGTTAAATAACATAATTACTACATAAAATCTATACAACAAAGAAACAAGTTAAAGAAGTACAAGGATACTATGAGCACAAGAAGAGAAAAAATTCTATGATATTTGATCAAACATTTTACAATGAAGCAGTAATTCAACAATAAATAATTCAAATACACTAAGAAACAAACCTTAAATATTGTTAGGCCACGGCTCCAATGCTCCTTGACATATGCTCCCATTCTTGTTTATGTTTGGATTGAGGAAAACCTTTTTTCCTAAATCCTTAGCTGCACGGACTCTTCACTTTTGATGTTGCACCCATATCAGATTCTCCAAAAATACTCTACTATTCGTTTCTGTTCAAGAAGTCCAATTTGCAAGCCTGACATGAGGCTAGGGAGATTCAAGAAATATTGAACATCACTAAAAGACTTGGCTACATCGTAGTATAGCACATAAAAGAACTATATAAGATAGAATCAAACACATAATAGAGAAATTGAAGAAAATTGCCACTAGATGGGGATTCCTTGGAGACAGTTCCTTTAATTAGCTTAAGATAAATAAATCCACCAATAATTTGTCAATGCACATTTTTATAATTTAACAATCAAAAGTTTTGTAAAGAACAAACCATCTAAAATTCAACCTAATATACAAATCACCATAACCAATTTACAAATCATCTGCAAACACAAGATAAAAAAATATTCTTCAGTACGTTAAAGGAAAGAAAAATTGTTTTAACACAATTCAATAGCATAACTTCTTTATATAAGCAGCAGCATGTCCCATAGCAAATGCAAAACTTTTTCATTTCATAATTAATTATCCGCAACAACATATGATTAGGTTTAGACAGAGAGTTATGAATAGAAAAGATTAATGAGTTGGAATGATTTAGAAATTGGTACACCAAATTCCTTGAGACAAAACGTTACTGATACTCATTGACTAGCAGAATGTCAAGGTCTGCTTTGCTCTAGTTCTCCAATACGCACCATTTAAATCTATTTGACCATATACAATCCCTAATTGCAAAATTAATAGAATTTTTCTTACAGAATATAATGGAGCGTGTTGTGAATCCTGGACCGATTGATCGTACACTTCTCTCTCAGCATGAGCATA